CCCATTGGCCCCCCCGGGGGGGGGGGAGTGGACGCGGCCACCAGTAGACCAAGGTGCTCTCCTGAGCATGGGTGGCTGTATAGAAATTTAAGTAGATTTGGCAGAAAACCAGTGCTATACATGGACCAGGGAGGGGTGCATGGGTTCACGTGAACCCATACCCCTCTAAGCGGATCTGTCGCCGAGCTAAGGGATGTGGTTCAGCTTGACAGGAGAAGAAATTTATTGGTACTTGTTATGAGCTTCCTTTTTTTTTTTGGTGGTCTCTGTTATTGTCATGTCAGTCTGAGCTGGTCATGCCTTCTAGTGGAACATGATTAATGTCATCCAAGTTCCATTTATATATGTGCTCTGTTGCCTAATAATTATTAGTTCTATTCATTAACCATTTTTCTGATGGATTGTGTATCTGGTTCTTCAACTTTGCAGCAATACACTCTTCCGAAGATGGCGGTGTTCCTCCCCATGAAAGCTGGTATATGGAGGTACTGACTTATTCAACAGAGATTGTACCAGATATAAAACACGTCCTGCTAGGCCAATCTCTCTAGCATTGTTATTAAAAGTCATCGCTTCATCGCTTAAAGCAAGAGCAATACGGAATTTGGGATTACCACTTCACAGGTGAAGCCATGCAGTTGATAAAAATGTGTGCTTCAAAGCATGAAACGCACTCTAATCCCAACGAGAAACGACATGTTCTTTGAATCTCAACTTTGTGATCTAGATTAATATCAGCATTAGTTATATTGAATACTGAAATAAGTTATTGCAGTTGCAATTTGATCAGTATAGTACTAAATCAATTTATGTTTGCTACATTTTTGTCGTGGATTGTGCTTTTCGCATCAAGCCCTAGGAACCTTGTCGTTTTTTGCTTTATTAAATGCTTATTTCTTGGTGTCAAGTTGGTTTATTGGCTTAATTAGTTAATACAAGAAAATTTAACCAGTTTTATAATGCTTCAAACATAATCCTTGGAAAACCAAAAGAAGTACCGAAGGAAAGGGACGTAGCCTCTCCCTTGGCCTTTGGATAGGAGAAGAAAACATCCTTCGCTCAAGTTTTTTGCTTCCTGCATCCTTACTAGTCAAAGAGGGGCTCTTAGACCAACAAGGCATTCTAGGGAAAGTCGACCTCTACATAAGTCGTTATCTGTTCAGGAAAAGTAAGCTACCTTTTTTTGATCCCCTTCTCGGGCAGGGAAAATGACACAAACTACAAAGATGAATTTCCACAATATAATCTAACATAATACTAAATTCTTTTTTTGATATGTATTCTTGAGTAAATTCTCGCTGAAAGTGTGTAGTGAATAGCCTATCATTTGAGGAGCCATTGTATCTGATGATTCCATAATATGTACAATTTAATGAAAATCCACTTGCTATTTAAAACAAAAGAGTCATTTATATGCTGCAGGAAATTTATCGCTTGGTTTGACAACAAAGTGAAAAATAATTATTTGACTCCTGAGAAACAAAGTGAAAAATAATTATTTCAAGGCACAACGATTGCATCTATCATGAAACAAAACTAATTGCTCATTAGATTTTCCTTAAGGTGCTATTTGAAGAGATTGAGCTTGAGCTTGACACAAATAGAACATGATTAATAGTTTCGGTTCTCGTTAAATCTGTAACAACTTTGATCATTTTAGTCACAAGGGTGAAAGGGAAGACGAGCATTTTCAGTGGTATTAGCACTCCTGTAGCCTGGTGTCAGATGTTCTTTCTTTTCTTTTTTTCTCTTTTGTTTTCGGGTGTAACACTGACGTCCTTGCCATTTTGTGCGTACTGCAACAATTTTACTGAATACCTGCTATCTATCACTAGCATAGGTAACTCTACATCCCAAGGCCTTGCGTCTTAGGTGGTTTTCACAGGCCAAGAAAATCATTTTATACAATGTGTCACATAATGTATAAAGAGTGCATTCATAAGCTGCAGATGAGAGATCCTCACTCTAATGCACAAAATCACAGAAGATCAGAGCACAGTGAGCACAAATATTGTCCAAGTTCACTTAAAACAATATGGTCGATAAAGAAACACAGACTAAAGAAAACAAGGAGAAAAACTCAAGTTTTATTTGAAAGGGAATAGATGATTTACAAAGGCCACACTTAAACACTCTTTTCTCTTTTTGTTTTTTGCTTTTCTTTTTTATGTTACTTTTTCATTCTTGAAAACAGTCACATATTGTCCAGACTTCCGAAAGGGGCCACACAAATGCATTATTCATTATGAAGTTTCCTGAATCATTATTTTGATAGCTTTAACTCATTCCCTGAAGTGACGTTTAAGTACGAGCATAACGCACAGAAATCCGCTGCTGGATCAGGCTCCTACAAGAAGGACATTCTTTCATTCCCTGCTTCTCATGGAGCTCATTGCATGTCGTGCATAACACCTGATGAGCACATGGTAGAAAAACCACAGACATCTCCTCCGACAAGCACATCACACACTCACGTTCTCGTTTCACCCCTCCATCCCGAGAGTATTCCTCAAGATCTGTCACCATTGAGGAGATATAAGGCATTTGAGTGTCCTTTTGTAATGAAGCATTTCTCAAGTCTGCCAGTTTGCTAGCATAGCTTCCATCTATGCCTCTTTTAAGAGCTGCTATCTTTGAAGAATCGGTCTTCAGTCTGAGCTGGGATATTTCCTTTTCTAGCTTTTCAATATCATCTTTAAACTTCTGTAAACTACTTTCAGCTTTTAATTTGGTCATATCCTCCTTGGATTTGGCTGAAGTTTCTATCTGTTCTCTCTCTTTCCTTACTGAACTAGCCTGCCTAAGTAAGTCTTCATTGGCCTTTTCTTCCTGCTTCCATCTACCCTGCAAGACATTGGCTTGTCGGTAAGAGCATAGCTCATCTGGAGAAATCACATTAGTATAAGAACATCAGTTGAAAGAATAAAGATCTACGAAAGACCTGCAAAGCCAACCACTTCCCTTTACTGTTTGCCGTTAGCAAATTCATATTTCAAAAAGCAAACACACCAAGTGCAAGAGCTACATGGTTCTGATCAGAGACAAAAAGTTTCTTTGATAGCCCCACCCACCTCAAAACCCCCCTTCCCAAAAAGTGACCCTTCCCCACTTCACTCCCTCGGTCACTCGAACCCCTAAACTCATGGTTGGAGGTAGAAGGTCCTTTTCACAAGGCTATCCCTCCCTTGTCAAACTTTTCAAAACATGCTTCACCGGAAAAAATAATTCTTTGTGATACTGATTTGCTTTTACCAATACGGTGGCAAGAGTGAAACAAACTCGAAGATCATGTTAAGAGTTTAAGACAATGGAAAATGTGGTCTTTAGTGAAGCAAGAAATAAAAAATTTATCCGTTCAAGCTTCTGCAAAATCTTGTAAGAGTCCTCCAACTGCAATGATGCATGTAAGAGGCAAGTGCAAATAACCTATTACTGTAACTCTGCGTAGTACCATTTCATCTACATTACGTCTCAAGATCCATTTGATAAATTCCTTTAAAAGTTCATCACATCAAGGTATCACATGAGATGTCTTCCGAAACATTATGTCCATATCAGACATCAATGTCAAAGCATATAAATTTCAACACATGAATAAAAATGCAACAAGACACTATGAGAGGTGGAGATACCTCATTCCCATTGTCAGCACAGCTATTCGACTTAGACAATAAGCTATCCCACTTCAAACCCTATTACAAAGTGAGGAAAATGGCACTGCACAAATATGCTATGCACTCCTACTAACATAATAAAGCCAAAAGATGCGAAAAAGATCTTGCATTAGTTAGATGCTTCTTGATCCCAACTCTTGCTTATACATATAGAAATCTGCACAGACGAGAGTCAAGCTACTCTCAGATAAAGAATCCAGCAGGCAAAAGTTCCCTTGTTCAGTTTTCAGATTCTAAAATTACACAAGTTAGTAAAATAAAGAAAATGAAGAGAGAGAGAGAGAGGTTCAAAAACCACGTCGAGTCATTTTTAAGCAAACACATACAAGAGGTTCATTTATATTTCTCATCATTAGGTTTATCTGTCAAGTAGGAAAAAAGTACCAAATCCCCATCTGAGAGAGAGCGAGAGAGAGAGAGAGAGATTAGGTTTATCTGTCAAGTAGGAAAAAAACACCAAATCCTCATCACAGAAGTCAGATTGCATGTAGCTTCTACAGAGATGTCAGTTTGCCAATGACATGCACATGCCCGACTGAGGAGAGCCAAGCTACCACAATACGACTTATTCACCGACTTTATTGAGCATTGTATATGACCTTAAACAAAATTTACTAGCATAAAGCTTGTTAATTAGCATCTTCCTACCTAAGCTATGCAAAAAAAAAAAAAAAATCCTCTTTAAGAATTAAAGGTTAAAGGTCCTAGTACATAACTAAACATTACAGCCTTTTTAACTTAGCTAAAGCCTAAACATTTTTTGGCAAGAAGCATCTTGTGAAGCATTTATGATCTTAATCCCCTAGTAAACATACCTCGAGCTGGTTTTGAACATCTCTAGCTTGCTCCAGCCGTTGTTGCAGTTCCACCAGCTTTCGTCTTTCAGCTATAAGTTCATCCTGAAATATAGCTTTCTGCTTCTCCCATGACTGGAACTTCATAAGCGTCTTCTTTTCCCTCTTTGATATTTCCTGACAGCTCGCAGCTGACTCTGCTGCACGCAATTTGGCAGCTTCCATTTCCCTCCTTAGTACAGCATTCTCAATTTCAAGCCTACGAACAGCACCATTAGCTCGTTCGACTTGTCCGCTAGCCTTACACAAGGCATTCTCCATCTCGGCCAGCTTTTTCATGGTATTTTCTTCCAAACTCTGCTTCTCTTTCTTAAGCCTCTCCACTTCCTCTTTTTCTTGCCGAAGTGTCTTAAGCTCAGCTTTGTCTTTACTCAGTCTACGAGCGGCTTGCATAACCTTTTGATTGGCCCATTCTGTCCACTCTTGGAGCTGACCTTCCAATTCCCGAACCCTTGGAACTAACTTTAAAATCATTTCATCTTTCTTGTCTTGAGGAACCCATTGAGCAACAGATTTTTCATTTGGAATCATATTAAGAGAACAAACAGCGCCCTCAGCATTATAACGAAGAGGCATCGGGGTGATGCTGCAGTTGGTAGGTGAGAGCGAGAGCTCAGTATCAGCAGCGGGCAATGCAAGTGAAGTATTCACTTGCGGTAATGAAGAAGGGATATTTGCATTAGGTAATGGAACAGAAACATTGACATTATCGCATCCAAATACTGATGTAGAAGAAAATCCATTATTTGTTGAGATACTATGGTGTATATTATCTTGAGTCACAGCAAAACTGGTCTTATTGATCTTTGATGAAGCATTCTTTATATTCATGCCGGTAGAATCTGCCATGGACTTAAGTTTATTATCTAAAACTAAACCACCAAAACCATTGAGTTTCCTAGAGACTCCTTTAGAACCATAAGTACGCTATTGTTTCTCAAGATGTAGGGACTTCTGCCTAAGTATGTACTCTCTTTTGGTGATCCCAGACAACTTTCGACTACCAACAAACTCCTCGTCGACGGTTGGAGGATTGGGTGTTCCAACTGCCGTAAATGTTTTATCAACAGTGTCAAACAGAGAACTTGAAGAATCTTTCTCTGAGATCATTCCACTCAGAGCAAATGAAGATTTGGGTTTGACATCATGAACTCCTGTCATAGCGGACGCCTCCAACTGAAAGCTATGCCCACAAGTTACAGAAGCGACACTGGAAGTCTCAGACGAACAATGTGCACAAGCAACTGAAGGATTTGGNCAAACTCCTCGTCGACGGTTGGAGGATTGGGTGTTCCAACTGCCGTAAATGTTTTATCAACAGTATCAAACAGAGAACTTGAAGAATCTTTCTCTGAGATAATTCCACTCAGAGCAAATGAAGATTTGGGTTTGACATCATGAACTCCTGTCATAGCGGCCGCCTCCAACTGAAAGCTGTGGCCACAAGTTACAGAAGCGACATTGGAAGTCTCAGACGAACAACATGCACAAGCAACAGAAGGATTTGGCTTACATGGAATTCTATTGTTGGATTCGGAACTTTTGGCCTCGGATTGCAAATAAGGCTGCACAGAAGCAGAGTTATTTTCATTCCCATCAGCAACCAAACTACTCAAAGGATCACTTTCCATCGCACAAGCATGGGATACATTCATGTCACATATTAACAAGCACCACATTGCATCACCAGTGCTAAAGAAAGGCCTAACTTCCCGCAGAACACAGACCAATTCAGCCAACACATACTTTTCCATCTGCTGCAAATCCTCAAAATAATGCTCCCTGCACAAGTCAATCTCTTGGCCGCTACGAAGAAAACCCAATGTATTCTCCACTATGTTTGATACAATGTCCTTACAACCATAGCAAATTATTAAAACAGCCTTTGTGGCAATCTCTTCATTGTAACCAAAGGCCATTATTCTTTTAATTGCACTCCTGAAAATTGTATCCAAGTTGCTCAAGACAAGCTCTTCTAGCTCGGACTCTGTAAGATCACTCCAATCAGCATCATGGAACTCTTCAGTTGTTTCAACTTCCTCCTCTCTAGGCTCGCTCGGACCTACTTCAGATGATCCTACGCTGCAAGACAATCCGAGGTCTAGTTTCAAGCTTTCTGAGCCGTCTTGCTTCAAGCTACACATATCACAGCCATTCGAAAACTCATGACAAGGGATCATTCCAAATTTGTCCGCTGAAAATTCAAAACTCGTGCACTCAAACTGAGGAGAAGAAATTAGTTTATTTGGATCGGCTAGAGGTGGATCCGCCCTGAATTTCCTCTTATTCCTACTCCCTTTTTCCAAGACTGTCAAAGCCGGTGAATATTGAGCCGACGTTGTAGCACATGCCTTTGCAACCATTGATGCCATAACTTAGCTGCCAAAATAAAATCTTTCTTTCTCAGAATCAACCCATGAAATTAACTCACAATTATTAAAAAAATCACAAATGTGTTGACCTCATACCAATGCACATAACTATAACAAAAACACTGAAACCCAGTTCTTAAACTGTTACAGAACATCAGAAAAAACAAGCTAATAAACAACTTTTTTTCCAATTGAAATGCATTAAACAAGCCATATCAAACATGATCATATATATTGCTCAAGTCTAAAATCTGATAATCCAAGCAAATTCCACAATCCAAGAACTATACATATGACTTCACAAAAAATTAATAAAATCAACATGAATTAAATAAGTTACTTACATCAAGAACAATTACCCAGAAAAAAACTTCCAATACTGAATGAACTTAAATCACACCCATTAAGCTTCCGATCAATCCCAATTCAAATCAGCAATCAAAATTAACCCATCATCCAGATGAGCTGGATGTGCAAACATCAAGGTTATTAAACGTGCCCGCATGCACACTTCTGACGTTTACATGATGAACCAGCTCATTGATCATTTCATTGTATGCTTCCCTTGGAAGGATTCCGGAATTTGAAATGTTAGTTAATAGAGTTAAGAGTGAAGCAGAATGGCGGTGGGATCTATAAAGGAGATTTTTCATCAAGCTCAGATTGTAATGGTCAACTTCAGTATTAGCATCAAGCATTTCAAGTAGGATCTCTTTAACCATGCAAACATCACTTCTTTTACAGAAACCTGAGAGAATCTGATTATAGGTCTGCTTACTTGGTGCTAGGCCAACCTCCTTCATTTGGCGAAACAAGGTATATGCTTCTCCAACTTGACCACCAGTAAGTAGTCCACTAATGGCAATAGTGTAAGAAACATCATCTAGTTGGGATTTCTCTGAAGCAGCTTTCTTGATTAAGCTAACAGCTTGGTGAAATTTACCAGATTTTATTAGCCCATTTATTATCACAGTAATTATATGAGAATCAAGCCCACTGTGACTTCTAACAAGCCCATGGTACACCTTGACTGCCTCTCTTATCCTACCTGAGCTGCATAATCCAGTCAGTAATCCGGCAAAGGTATACTTATCTGCTACGAAACCTCTATCTATCATGTCATTGTAAAACTCAATAGCACCAGCAGGATAACCAGCTTTGCAGAAATAGCTAAGAAAAGAGTTACATGCAACTAAATCAGGTTGAATCTCGAAGCCAGTTATGAGCAGAGGTAATTCAACATATTGCTTAGAGAGACAGACAGTTGTAATCAAAGAACAAAGAGTATAAGAATCAGGTGTTAGTCCTTGCTCCCGCAAAAGGAAGAAAGCATTAACTGCATCTTCATACCTCCCCATTTTAGAGAGGCTATCTATTAACACGTTACAAAAAACCAAATCAGGGAAGCATCCTCTTGATTCCATGGTATCCAAGATCCCAAATGCCTTGCTTGGCATCTGGGACTCAAAAAATCCCTTGATCAACGACGTGTAAGTTACAACATTTGGCGAATACCCACTCTCTACCATCTTCTCAAGCAAGTGAGTCGCAGCATCCATGTTGCCATCTTTACAGTATCCATCTATTAATATACCCCAAACTCTATCCAATACAGGAACACCGAAAACTATCATTAGACCTAATATTTGTTTTGCCTCTGTTATCCGACCTCCTTTACAGTAACAACTCAAAATCACAGAAAATGTCTCCTCATTAGGATAATAGCTTTTCCTCAACATAATCTTAAGCACATCCTGAAGATTAACCATATCATTGAGCTTACACAAGTTACGCACAGCAATGCTATAAGTTAAAAAATTTGGAACCTGGGTTTCTTTCAAAACTCTAAGTGCCACCTCCACACGCTCAATCTTGAACAATACATCCATTACAATGTTCCTAGAAAAAGTATTTGGAGTATAACCACAATTCAATATTTCCTCAAACGCCTCGAAGACCCTATCATACATTCCACCAAACCAGTAAATTCTCAACAAAAACATCAAAGTTTGTGGCTTTATTACACAACCAACCTCCTCAAATTCCTTAACTATCCCTTTCACTGTTCTAAACCTCTGCGTCAACCGAGAAACAATACTAATCATATGGGTCAATGTGGCTCTGTCATGAAAGTAGTTATGTTGTTTTCCACACCATAAGAAAAATGAAAATGCAAGAATGTCAGAACGGCAATTTGATATAGTTTTATGTACAATTCTAGGGGTAAGAATGATTCTTGAGGAAAAGTAACTTTGTGGGTCACCAGAAAAGCATTCAATGGAACTATCTGGAAACTTCTGGTAATGTCTAGAGGAAAAAGAACCTTGTGGGTCATGAGCAAAATATTGAATTTGTGAGCATAGACATTGGAATGAGGCTAAAGATTCCATTTTGAGCATTCGATGTGAAGCAACTCTTCCAGTGGAGAACCATATCCATAACATTTCCAGTATAGAATACCAAGAAACACAAAATGCAGCATATAAAGAACATAGGGGAGAGATTTGGGAGGTATTATTTCGATCCTTTCGACTATATTGATGAGTTCGTGAGGATGGACTTGGAATTACGGCTATGTGCTGGTAAAACCCTATAAGACGACCAAAAACCCCACCTAGAAGAGATTACCGACTGAGTCCAAGACCCGGATCCGATTGGCGTCTGTTATTTTGGGTTTTTTAATATTGACGCGCACTTGTTCATCCAAATAATTATGTAGTACCTATATAATATTTGAAATTTATTTACCAAAATTATTTTAATTTTGTATCTTACCCGTCCTAAATAAGGATTATTTATAAATTACTAGGTAAGTGAAGCCCGGTTTGCGTACGTGCCCAACATAATACCGATAGATTTACAGTGACATTTGTATAAATGTATTCAAATCTTTCTTTGAGGTTAACAATAAATTAGTTTGATTCAGTTTAGTTGATTTTATTTTGAATATTTTTTTGGCGTTCCCAGTCATAAACTCCTTTTCTACTTCTAACATCGAATTCTAAAATTAATAAATACGGATTTTTTTTAAAATCTCAATGATGTAAACAAAAAAGTTTTTTCTTTTATAAATATTTCAGTGTTAAATTTTCTTTTTCATTTCCTTTAGTGAATCATGTAGCTCGTGATTCTTGGAGTAACTTTTTCAGTTGATAGTATTCAAAGATGATACCAAGTCCACCATAAGATTTAAACAAAAGTATATGTGCCATCACTTATATACACGTGATAGTTTTTCCTTAAAATCGAAAGGGATAACACAGTAAACTCATATGAAAGTTAATAAATCAGCTACAATAAATCATACATGCTAGTCAATGAAAATGCATAGTCTGGAGTAAGACGACCCAAGAATAGTAAAACTATCAAGTGCTTATTATAAAATGTCAATATATTGCAATTTGATCAATTCAAATATAAGTATTGTAATATCATTAATAACAAAATTATTTGACTAACACTAATAATTTTACAAAATTATTTCTCTTAACATTACCTATTCATTGGTGGTGCAGTTTTTTTTACAAGCATTATCTAATGCCACAGTGTATTTAATGTGTTATTTCAAGTGAAATAATGAATTTTTCTTGCAAATTTTTAAAATTTGTTTCAGGTTATTAATATAAAATCCAAAGTGATATAAAATTTCGTCGGAAAGTTAATATTATTGAGAATAATTTAGTACTACCAAGTCAAATAGGTTTTCTCGATTAATTTCCAAAAAAAAAAAAGTTAAAGAGGTAATCCTATAGCTTCCTAATATATTTGACCGATGGATAATTAATTAAAAGAAGATTGGGGCCAGAAAATCATCAGAATTATAGGTATAAAAGTTTTTATTAGCTAGGAACAAAATTACATCAAATGAGAAAAATTGTGGCTTGGGCAAAAAAGAAAAAGTAAGAGAGCAGCTGGAGGTCACTATTTGATGACACGTTCAAACAATACAATCTAACAAATTAAAATAAGGACACGTCTTAGCTTGAAACGCAGTGAGGTGTGAAGGAAATGAAACTTTAGTGGGGCCCTTCAATAATTTACCAAAATATCCTCAGACGACCCTAGTTAGATTTGATGGGGATGACACCTATATTTAGAATATTTTTTCTCCACAACGGTGATATTCGGACTAACTTGTTAACACCTCAATGAATTTATAGAATATCTTCATCCTTTTACCCGATTTCGAGTAACTTTATCCACCAAGACTTGGACATAGTGACGGTCCAGAATTTGAAGGTCGGGAGTACATTTTTACATTCAACCAAAATCTACTTTGCATATAGGATGTCACTACTAATATATCAATATTTTCTAAAAACATATACATGGATTCATGAAAATTTGTCGAACTTTTCGGTTGTCGGTGAACCCTCTCTTAATAACATAGGTCCGCATTTACTTGGACACATAAAAAGAAATTATCTAGTATTTTTATCTCTATTATTTAAACCTAAAATCCCATAATTATCAACTCATTTCATCCAAAAGCATAAAACAAACTAAAGCTAAAATTAAAAATGGAGATAGATATTATCCTCCTAGCTTACTTAGTCCATATCATCATTTCATATTTTATTTAGTATAAAATAATATATTTGAACTTTTCATACTTATACGAATATCATTTATTAGAAAAAAGAAAAACAATAACCAAATACACTTGAGTCTTTCAAGACTCCACCTCATCCTCTAAACCACGACTATGATATATCATTCAAATTCAAATAGTATAAAAAGAAAGATTTAAATAGTAAACACTAATGATATTAAAAAACAATTACACTCCTTAGCCGCCCAGTCCGACGCTGTCGCCAGAATTGTCCAATATCCTTTCCCTCTCTAAAATATCTTAATCTTAAAAAAAGTAAAAAAGAAAATTCAGAAAACAGATCATTTTGTTCACGAAACACGAAGCAACCAAACCAAATCAAACGAAACAAGAAACAGAAAACTAGAACTAGGGTTCCCAAATTCTCTCCCGGTATTTCCCGTGAAAATTCCCGGGAATATTTGAGCTCCGTTTACTCAGCTTCAGTTCCTTTTTCTTTTCCAATTCCAGGTTCCCTAATTTTACTCTCTCTTCTTTTTAGTTACGGTAATTTTTCTAACTCTGATTTGATTTGATTTTCAATCATTTTCTTTTTTACAGGATTCCGTATTTGAGGGAAAAGGGCAAACCCGTACACATATATATTTTCCAAGGGAGGGATTTTTGTGATATTTTTCATTGTACAAATTTATGGGATATTTCCTGATTTAGGGTTTAAAGTAGTTTTTATTGGTAGTCGATGGATTCTGCAAATACGACCCCGTCAACCAGTGAGGTCAAATGTTGTGAATGCGAGTGTAATTGTTCTATAACAAACAGGTCCTTTTCGGGGACTTGGATTCGGACAGTGAAGCGAAAATTGGACGAATATGATGAAATTGAGAAGAAATTTGTTATCCCGGGTCTGATTTTGCCTCAAACAGCTCGTATAGACATGGAGAACGAGTGTGTTGCTCTTAGGGAAATGGTTGGGAGCCAACAGGAGACAATTCAAGAACTGAGTGTCGAGTTGGAGGAAGAGAGGAATGCGGCTTCCTCGGCTGCGAACGAAGCCATGTCGATGATCTTGAGGTTGCAAAGGGAAAAAGCCGAGTCACAAATGGAGTTTAGGCAGTTCAAGATGTTCACGGAGGAGAAAATGGCGCATGATCAGCAGGAAATAATGGCGTTGGAGGATTTGTTGTATAAGAGGGAGGAGACGATCCAGTCGTTGACTTGTGAGGTGCAAATGTATAAGCATAGGATGTTGAGTTATGGGCTGTTGGAGTCTGAGGTTGAGTATGATGGTGAGATAGAGAAGGCTCGTTATGGCCGAAATGATAGTGTCAGCGAGGGCATTGATGACCGTTTTGAAATTTCTTTGTATGATTACCCTCCCTTGAAATGCACTATTAATGAAAACCAAGTGTACACAGAGGTGGATAATGAGGTTGTGGACGTTGAGAAATATGCGTTCGGAGAGACCCCACGATCATGTGACCAATTGCGAGATTTGGATCAGAGGATCAATCGGTTAGAATTGATGCCAAGTAGTCAGACTGATGGGGAAGTATTTAATAACGATATCCTTGAAAAAGCAATAGTCACTCAATTCCCTCCCGTAACAAATAAAGAAATAAGCTCTGATTTTATCTCAGGTTCTCCGAAGTACGGTGGAAGTGTTGGAAAAACAGAAAATTCGCAAACAGAGGAGTATGCAAACTTGAGGAAGGTGGACGAGTCATCGGAAGTTGGAGGTGAATTGAACGACAGAGTGTATACAATTGACTCTATACATCAGGGTTCTGGATATAATGGTACCTCAGAGCCCAAGGCTTCTGCAGGAATAGGTGATGGGCATACCCCAAGAGATTCGCTGAATCATACCGATTTTGGAGATCCTGAGGTCACGAAGCTGTACCTTAGGCTGCAGGCCCTCGAGGCTGATCGGGAATCAATGAGGCAGGCTATCGTTTCTATGCGGACTGATAAAGCACATCTGATATTGCTTAAAGAAATTGCTCAGCAGTTGTGCAAAGAAATGTCTCCAGCAAGGAGGACGCCTGTGAGGAAGACATCTGTAGTCACGAGCTTTTCATTCATTTCAATATTCAAGGTACCATCTTACTTGCGATTATACATTTTCTGTGCTCAATAAATTCATTTTCACAACACAAAGTATGTGTTGCATATGGTATGTGTCCTATGTTAAAATCACTGTTCTAGATAATTGCAAGCACATTAGGAGCAACTGTTGTATCATGATACTTTGAAAAGTCTTTTCCTGATCATTTTCTGGAATAAAACTCTAATATTTTATGTTAAGCTGAAAGGAGGCCATATCATTGCCCCAAAGGCTTTGCTCTAATGGTAAGAATGCAGTGCGTGATGTGTGGGTTATGTGTGCATCATGTGTTCGAACACTAATGTAGACAAAAGTCTGGTATCTAAGTGAAGGGTTGAGAAGCAGGCCCATTATCCATCGAGTTCGTGTGCCACTGGCGCTCGGGATTTTTCTGTTATTAAAAAAGGAAAGGAGGCCATATCACTGATTACATCAGCAATTTCAATTCGAACTATTTTGGATGCTCATAAATTGTTATACGCCTGGAAGATATTATTATTAAGGCGGCATATCTTTGATGCATATGATATCAGTAATGATGATTTCCTATCATGGTCTAAATACGAAGGATACTGATTAGGTTCCTAGAAATGTTCTGGATCTCCATTTTCCTGTATGCTGAGCCAGTTTGCCGACGTTACCTCTTCTTTTTTATCTTCCTTAATTTCCATTGCTTTGAACCACTACATCTCAGCTATTAAGGTTACAGTCCCATGTTAACAGATATGTTTACCATAATTCTTCTTACCTCGCTTCATCTCAGTTTTACCAATTCTGTTTGTCTATTTCTTACATGATAAAAAAATAAAAATAAAAATGCCAAAATATTGTTCATGTATATGATGTTAAGCATTTTTACTGTATTATAGCCTAATTTACTTATTATTATGATATGGGCTTCCAGACTAGGAATACCAATCGATAAATTGTTATCTATCATACTCCCTATGTTTCATTTTACGGGACACTTTCATTTTAGTCTTTTCAAAAAAGAATGATACCTTTCTCTGTTTTGAAACTATTAAAAGTTAGCACTCTAATTTTACCCTTAATGACATGACTTGTTTGGACCTACTTATATAAAAGATCATTCTGTTACTAGAATAGAGAAAATGAAACGACATATGGAATTCTCACAACTCATTTAATTATTGATAGTAAGGACAACTTTTGATACTTTGCCTATATTTAGCTTGTCTCAAAAGTCCCTTATTTCTTAAACTTTGTATTCAGTGAAACACCTTCACATAAATGGGATGGAGGGAGTACTTTGTTTTATGCATATTTTAGCGAATGTTCACTCCTGTACTTCAATCAAGTACACTAATCTTTTTCGGTTTATTGATGCTCTGACTATTCTCTGTGAGTATCTGTCTTGCCATTTAGTTGTTTCCAACTGGGTGAAGCTTCGGAAGAATGCAAACTCTCACAAAATTTGAAAAGTCACTTATTCTGCAGTTTATGTGTGTAATTGGATGAGCCTTTCTGGACATAGAATATAACCACTATGCCTCAATCCCAACCCAAGCTAGTTGGAGTCGACTATATGAATGGTTACTATCGATGTCACTTCCTTTAGGCCGTATTCAGTATTGTGAGGGTTCATCATAAATAGACTAGTTTTACGTCGGCTTCAACCTACCGTAACTCTCCTCCTTTATCCGATCTTGGGGCCGAAAATGTGAGCAAACTCACAATGACAGTTTTCCAAGAAATAGAATGACGAGATAAATATTTTTCTGGTGAGCATGAACTGTGGGAAAATCTAGAGTTGGGTTGAAAATATTCCTTGCATTACTTTCATTTGGCTTGAGCTGTGGGATATATTTTGGCTTCATTTGGTTGGTTAGAATTAGTGTGACTCATAGTTGGTCGATTTAAGAACCCTTTGGTTTATGTATTTGGATAAACTTTTTAACTTTTTGGAAAGGTGATCGACCTCTAGAGCTTATGTTTAAGTAAGATATTGAGCCTATCCAAGAAGAGCTCAGTGTGAACACAATTTTGGAGCGAACTACTTACCCCCTCCGCTGCTGGGGGGCAGATGTATAATGTACTACTTCGATCCAGCAACTTGTTAGGAGTCTCCTATGAAATCTGCCATCGAGATTACATTTGATCTCAATTTGAGATCACTGAGATAGATGCTTTATTACAGGCAGCTCTTTTATCGAACCTACTTGTTTGATCCATGTTGACTTGTATGTTTGACTCGCAGCTCGCCTCAGTGGTTATTTAGGATGAGCATTGTGTTTTAGTGATTTCTAAGGAGAGTAAAGGTTTTGGGTCAGAAGATATAGTTAACCTGTGTAAACTTTTGTAATCTATTTTTATTTCCGTGAACTTTGTTTATGCTTATCTTTCTTCTTTTTCTTTCTGTGCCGAATGGAGAAGGGTTTGAGAAGCTATTATAACGCTTTGCTATTAAATTTTGCCACGCTTTGCTCCCTACCCTCTAATTCCCCTCGGTTTGTTTTTGGCTCTCCTTTGTCATGTGTTCTGCTATATAATTGCTGATATAGTTTCTGTTTTTTCCTGTTCAGTGGATAATATCCTTCGTCTTGTGGAGAAGGAAAGCTCGTCGATCCAAGTGAGTTGATCATTAGAAAGCTAGTACTACTATTTTATCTTATTGCTCATATTGTACTCTTTTGAAAGCAAAATCTGTTTCTAATTTTGCCTGCTAGAAGTTATAGTTTGAGCTAGATAATTGGCACTGAAATCATCACGTTGCTTGTTTAGGTACTTGTTTGGTTTGTCAGCCAGCAATGCGGGCTTGCTAATGCTTTTAGACAAGGGACCTCGTGTTGGCCAATGGAGATGTCTTTCAAGTACGCAGGTGTAACACCAATCCCATTGGTCCACATCGGCTTCCGAATCTCTTGCACTCATTGGCATGAATGCAGAATCGATTTTAGTCAAGATTAGTTGTTTTTGGATGTTCATTTTTCCTCGCCGTATATGCCTTGCTGCTGCTAATTTGAGTACTGGATTACTTCATGCAAGTTGTTTTCACTTGATTGTTGGAATTGAATGCGTCTTGCTGAAACAGTCGGCACAATTATAGGTGTTCCTTAGCCATATGGCTTTTAGTTCTCCTGGTCTGTTGGAATTTCCCTTTAGGTAGTTTACTTCTGTATATTGTAGATTTGTGAATAACCTTTTTTAGGGTCCCAATCAGAAATGAATGCTTTGTTTTGTGATTGGGACATGATTGATTAAATCGAATATGAGTGCAATTTTTCCATTTGTTTTCCCAATTGAAGCATGTTTCTTTTCCTGAACAGTTAATCCTGTTACTGAAATTGTGGATAATTTTGGAAGAGAGAGTGCAAGTACAACTTTCAATTTGGGAAAACCATTTGTGTGTTGTTCGTTTGTTACCTATTTTACCCCCCAATTGGGAGGGAGAGGGGCCAAGTGAAATCCTTATTAGTCCATTAGGAGTCAAACCCAAAGAAACCTCCAAAATAAACCTTGCTATCTGAATCTGCCAAAAACCAGACATTGATTGGATAGAATCATAGAATGGATAAAACAGGAATGGAAATGGATAAAAGTACTCCCTCCGGTCTCCTATTTACTCGAGTCACTTTTGCTAGATATAATTGTTTCAAAATACTTTTCGTCATAGAAAATTTTAATTTATTTTTTCTTATTTTACCTTTACCACAATAAATATTCTAGAAAGAAGTAAAAAATTTGAGAGATCAAGGATCAAGGATTGGCAAACACAAAACCATTAACGTATATGTACAAGTTGCAGCGGTAATCCGAAAGAATGCTTCACAATTTCTGAACATTCAAGTTCACGAAGGCCAGGTAAAAAAAGAACTTAATTACGTTCGTTATACATTAGGAATTTGTTAAATCTGAACTGCTCTTTAAAAAGAACTCCCAAAAGACCACATAATTAACCAATCAGTAATCATAAAAATTTAAGTATACAATATTGCTGCACCTCATGTAACTATTAATATCTCGGAAACCACCTTGTACATAAATCAAATAAGAAATAAATAGCGTCGTAAAAAAACTCTAAGTTTTTTAAGCTCACCACAAAGGAGATGAACAATATTTTTGTGATTTTCATGCTCTTTTTATTGGACAGTTGTACCTAAAAGAAATTCAATTTATCATCATGGACACATAAATCAAAATATATATGGTATGAAATGAATCAATTAACTTAAAAATGCATAAGAGACCATAAATTGGTAAATATATACGTTGTGGACAGTTAAAATACACATTACTTTTTAATCCTCTACATAAGTCGTTAAGAGTTTTATATAATATACTTTTGGAATCCACTCACTTTATTTTTTTTACTTAAGCATTGATAGTTAAAATGTAACGACCTGATCTGTCGTTTTGAGCTTTTGCACTTTGCTCGCCAGTTCTCGGGCATGACTTGCCCCGTGTGATATATTATGCCTTATGTAAATTGTTGGTTTTGGTTTTCAGGGTAATCAGAATGAATTTGGAAGAACAACTCTCAGTTTGAAACCTTAAATTTGAAAGGTTTGACCAAGAGTTGACTTGTTTATATATGATCTCAGATCGGAGTTTTTATGATTTGGTTAGCTCCGTTAGGTGATTTGGGACTTAGGGGCATGATCGGAATGCATTTTGGAGGTCCGTGGAAGGTTTAGGCTTAAATTGGCGAAATTGAGATTTCGGCGTTTTCCGGTTGATAGGTGAGATTTTGATATAGAGCTCGGAATAGAATTCCGAGAGTTGCAGTAGCTTCGTTGTATTATTTGGGATGTGTGTACAAAATTTCAGGTCATTCGCACGAGATTTGATAGGCTTTTTGATCGAAAGCATAATTTAAGAGTTCTTGGAGTTCTTAGGCTTGAATCCTATGTTAAATTGGTGATTTGATGTTGTTGTGAGTGTTCCGAAGTTTTGAACAAGTTTGAACAATGTCCTGGGATGTATTGGTACAATTGGTTTGAAGTTCCGGGAGTTCCGGGTAGGTTCCGGGATGTTTTAGGCCGAAAATCATAGCTGTAGCAGGTCCAGAAGGGTTGCAGGCCTCGGAACCCACCCGCGCGGTCCGCACAAAAAGAAGTGCGGCCGCGGTATGTGCTGCGCGGACCACACAAAATGAAGTGCGGCCACGGTAGGTGCTGTGCGGAACATACAAAATGATGTGCGGCCGCGGTGGAGAACGTTTCACTAGTCCTACTTCGGAAGCACATATCTTTTGATCTACAAGGAATTTTGAAATGATTTAAAAATAAAAGTTGTAGACCTTCGTGTCTAGTTTCCAGAAAGATAAATATATAGCAATTTGGACATCTGTAGAGAAAGTTATAGCCAAAATACTAAAGCCTTTCACTACAGAGGAAAGCCTGTGCGGCCGCGGTCGTTTTTGTGCGGACCACACTGGTTTTGTGCGGACCGCGGTCGATTTTGTGCGGTCCGTGGAGGTGGAAATTTGTGGGGTACTCTATAAATACGAGGTTTTGGGTTTTATTTGATATTTTGACCTAGAGAGCTCGGATGTTGGCGATTTTTCAAAGGTTTTTCAAGAAATTCATCGGGGTAAGTGATTCTAACTCAGATTTGGCTAGAGTACATGAATCTATCATTTAATTCATGTTTTGGGATGGAATTTGGGAAGAAATTATAAAATCTTTCAAAAATGTAAAATGATGATTTGAAGGACTAAATGGTATCGAAATTGGATAATTTTCGTATGGTTAGACTCGTGAGAGTATAAGGATTTTAGTTTTGTGAATTTTGTCAAATTCTGAGATATGGGCCCGGGGGTCGGGTTTGACCAATTTCGGGAATTTATGATAATTTGATTATTTTCGAGTGGGATTTGTTTCCTTAGCATATTTTGATGGATTTGTACTGATTTCGGCTAGATTTGGAGCATCCGGAGGCCGATTTGAGAGGAAAAGGCATCGCGGTCTAGAGTTCAGACCGGATAGAGGCGAGTAATGATTGTAAATGATGTTCTGAGGGTTTGAAACCCCGGATTGCACATTGTAGTGCTATATTGAGGTGAGGCACACGCTTGACGACGAGTGTGGGGTCGCGTACTATTGGGGATTGTGACTTGGTCCGTCTCGATTGATGATTTTACCGTGTATTTGACTGAAAACTAATTGCTATCATCATTATTTGGACTGAATGCCACATTTGAGCCTAGTGCCAGCTATTTGAACCCTTCAGGGGTTGTTGTTGATATTTCCTTACTGTTTTGATTTTATAGTTGAACTTAGTCATGTTATTTTTCACTGTTTTCAAAACTCAGCCAAGTTTATTTTGCTTTACCACTTGAAATGATATTTCAAACAATATTTTTTGGGCTGAGTATTATGTTTTACTGTTGCCCGAGTAGCTTATGTGATTTTTGACTGAGTAAGGTCGAGGGCCTGTATTGTGAGGATACTTTTAGATCGGGCTGCACGCTGCAGCAGTGAGATACTGATTTGATTATGAGGCCGAGGGCCTGAGATATGTACGCCACGAGGTGTCTTGTTGATTGATATGAGGCCACGACCTAGATTTGATGCCACGATATGGCTTGATATTGCGCTTGGGCCGTAAGGGGCCCCTCCCGGAGTCTGTACACCCTAGTGAACACGGGTACCCATTGTGATGTGAGATATAGCCCGAGGGGCTGAATGTTCTATGTGATAGCCTGAGGGGCTGGTATTGTTCTATGTGATTGCCCGAGGGGCTGGTATCGTTCTATGTGATTGCCCGAGGGGCTGGTATTGTTCTGAGATATTTGCCCGAAGGGCAGAGTTGTTGACATTGAGCCCGAGGGGCGAACCTTTATGTGTTTATCTTTCAAATTTACCTATCATTTACTTGTTAAACTATGTTATTTGTGCCCGAGGGGCGGATTTTTCTACTTATCTGCACTAACTGTTTTGCATTCATTTGCGTACTATTGAAAAAGCCATTTTCAAAGAAGTTTAAACTGAGCTAAGATGTTTAAAGAGATTTTACAGCTTCACTGTTTTCTTACTGGTTTTTGAGCTACTTCTATACATCATCTTGATATGCTTTACGTGATTTCTTGCCTTCAGTCTTTATTTACATTTGTTACTCACTGAGTTGGAGTACTCACTTTACTCCCTGCACCCCTGTGTGCAGATTCAAGCATTGTTGGTACCGCTCCCGACTGCTGATACCTCCAGCTTCAGGTGGGCTTCCGGAGATTACGAGGTAGCTATTGACGTCCGCAACCCCGTGTCTCTACTCCCTTATCATCTCTATCTCTTTTCAGACATTTGTACTAGCTTATAGACTTAGCAGACTTGTATTATGAATTATAGATGCTCATGACTAGTGACACCCCGGTTAGGGCTGTGTTAGGTTGTACTTCCGCACCTTATTGACATTATCCGCTACTTAGTATTGCTATATCATGTTTTAGACTGGTTTTATGATATTTAACTGTTTAAAAAGTGAATTGGGTATAAGTGGCTGGCCTTGTCTTCACGAGAGGCGCCATCATGACCGGGTTCGGGTTTAGAGTCGTGACAAGTTGGTATCAGAGCCTAGGTTACATAGGTCTCACGAGTCATGAGCAGGTTTAGTAGAGTTTCGCGGATCGGTACGGAGATGTCTGTACTTATCCTCGAGAGGCTGCAAAACCTTTAGGAAAAATTTCACATTCTTGAATTCTTATCGTGCGTCCTTGATTCAGCTTGAAAAGTAACTCTTTGAATTGCTTCCACGCGTTCGTATGCGCGCATGAGAGCTCGGTATCAGATATACATCGATGGCTTGTGATTCCTGATCGAGGGGCGAGATACGATCTCTGTGTGTTGATGTTGAGCCAGTTTGGAGGACTTGAAGCCGGATTTTTTCCTATAGCTTGAGCACCGAGGTGCTGATTGTGTGAGTAGTGCTTATGAATTTATATGTTCGGTATTTTTCCATATTAGTGGAAGTGACAGCTGGATGGCTATGTAATGAGAATGTTAGTGCTGCGAGATGTATTCATATGATTTGGAAGTGACGAGAAAGGTATGCTGGAGGATAGAAGAACTATTAGGTGCTTGATTTCCGTCTTGATTCGAGTTATAGCCCGAGTTATGGGCGTGTGAAGAATCTTTTCATGTCTCCTAGTTGGGAGTGGAGTAGATTTCATGTTGCGGTATGAGTTCAGACTCAGGAAGACTAAGTGACTGTGTAATGGTTATGACGGTGGAAGGTATACATAAGTGTTAGTTTAAGGCGAAGCAGGTGGGTTATCTCCTGCGAAGTGTTCTAGAGTTGTGT